AAAGGGCGACAGCTTCCTTCTCGATACATACTGACATTGACCTACTAAAGTAAGGGTAGCGAAATGAATTAGATACTCATGTAGTCCTTACCCTAAATTCCCCACGCAAGCACACTTTCGTGAGAAGCCGTGGCGCCTCCATAGTACTATAGGGCAACCTAGAAATGGAATTGATTTAGCGGGTTTCGACACAAATAGTGGATCATGTGATTTAATTGGATGGTACCCCATAAATCTTACCTTTCCCTTTGGTGTTGCATGGCTGTCGTAAGCAGGTGAAGCAATTCGGAACCCCCCTTATAACCCGGGGCGGTCACCAACCGGCGATAACCCACGACCGAAGCTTTCCTAGCTTCCCAAATGTCCGGGGTTGACGTCAAGTACGCATGACCCAGTGGAAAGGGCTATACACATGATACAAAGGCGAAAAACAAATGGCGTGTAAAGCGCGGCCCCTCCAAAGAGGGGTTGGAAAATTCGCCTCAGTTCGGACAAAGAATTGTAATTCATTCTTTCGAAGCCGGAATTATTAGTAATCGTGGGTAAGCAAACCACGGTGGATATTAAATCGAAATTGCATAAATTGCCTGTCGCTTGGGAAGATTTTGAAGATCAGATCAAAGATTTTTAACGAACACCTAAGGTGTTCTTCCTAAAAGATTGGATATGAGATTATCTTGATTCCTGATAAGTCATAACAAAGTAATCGTAGTGGAAACTGCGGTTTAAGAAGACAAAGCATACCACTACCTAGGGGTTCGTCCCCCGTGAACTAAACTGAACTAAACTGAACTAAACTGAACTGAACTGAACTAAACTGAACTGAACTAAACTAAACTAAAAAGCGTAAGCTGGGCCATCCCCTTCCCAAATGGGTCCTTGGGTTTGGGCAGCACCGCCTCTGGGGTCATGGAAGAAATATATCCCACTCCCATTGAAGTTCTGGGGTATAGCCAAAAGGTAAGGCAGCGGGCTTTGAACCTGCCACGTGTGAGTTCGAGTCTCACTACCCCACCGAACGCCCGCCCCCCCACTCGAGAGTGGTGCCGGTCGGTCTAAATTTCCGGATGTAGTTGAATAGGTTACAACACCACATTGTCAATGTGGGCGGTGTGGGTTCGAGTCCCATCATCCTCAAATGCGAAGCCCGCCACCTGGGGGGGGGCCCTAAGTTAT